AAAAAAAAAAAAAAAAAAGACAAGTTATTGTCATTTTCATTTTACAAGTAAGAAAATTTAAGCTCAGAAAGGTGGAGTACCTTCCCAAAGTTGCTGAACCAGGATTCAAACCCTCCACTGTATTGTGCTGTCAGCAGTTGGTCCCCATTTCCCCTCTGGACTGTGTGCTTATAGCCAGCGTCAGGCCCTCCTTTGTCTTCTCAAAAGTTGTCCAGGTTGGGCGCGGGGGCTCACGCCTGTAATCCCAGCTACTTGGGAGGCTGAGGCAGGAGAATTGCTTGAACGCAGGAGGCAGAGGTTGCAGTGAGCTGAGATTGCTCCATTGCACTCTAGCCTGGGCAACAAGAGTGAAACTCAGTCACAAACAAACAAAAAAAGTTGGCTGGGCAGATGTGTTGGCTCACGCCTGTAATCCCAGCACTTTGGGAGGCCAAGGCGGGTGGATCATTTGAGACCAGGAGTTCAAGACCTGCCTGGCCAACATGGGGAAACCCCGTCTGTACTAAAAATACAAAAATTAGGCAGGCGTGGTGGCACGTGCCTGTAATCCCAGCTAGTTGGGAGACTGAGGCAGGGGAATCACTTAAATCTGGGAGGCAGAGGTTGCAGTGAGCCGAGATTGTGCCATTGCACTCCAGCCTGGGTGACAGAGCAAGATTCTGTCCTATAAAATAAAAATTATAAAAACTCACTATTCATATTATAGATGTTTCTCCAAGTGGCAACAGATTCTCAGAGGGCAGATAGGGGAAGGAGACAGAGAAAACTGAAACCTATCCAGTTATGAAGGCTGGCCAGGGATAAGCCTTGGGCAAAAGACAGTTTAGGGATCCTCTGTCAATATCAGACCTGAGGATCAGGCCGTCACCATTTGCAACTTTTCTTCTAAAGGGAAATAAGATGATACCGTTCCTATCTTGGGGAGCTTGCTCTCCAAGTTAGAAGTAGATCCAGCAGAGAGATTGGGGATAGAGGTTAAAAGCTGGAACTAAATCAACATTTGCATTGCTCTCAAACAACAGGATTAGAATACTTGGGGTTGATGAATGAAGAAGGAGTTGTTTCAGTCACCTGTCAGGGATGGTCTTGCTTCTCTCTTTGTCCAGGAACAGTCTCCAGGAGCAGCCTGGGTGTCTGGGACTGGCTGCTGTGGGGACAGCCCCAGATACTTCCTTTCCTTTCTTACCATGCTCCTGTCAAGGCCAGGTAGGCCACCAGGTTTTTCTTTTTGCTGTCCCTAAAGCTACTCCACCTGAAATCCTCCTGACCTCTTTTCCTGGGTGGAGCTTGCGGAGGGTTTCGTGTTTGAAGTTTTAGGGTTTACTTTTGTTTGTTCAGTGTCCTTGTTTCCTTTGATTGGTACCAGGATGAACCAGAATCAGCCTCTGTCCCTGCTGGTCACCTCACATGGTCCTTCCTGTGAGAAAAGAGGAAGGGAGAAGTGAGGGCAGAGTCCTGAGCACCGTGCCTGTCCTTGTCTGTTCTGCAAATCTCTGCTGTTGATTCATTCCAAGCCAAAAGAAGCTCTGAAGGGTTCTTTCTGGGAAGCAAACTCCCCACTTGGGTTTTTTGGATCCTAATGATTTATGGCCATTCAGCCACAATTCTCCAGCCTATACTGGTAAATACAGTGTACCAAACTCTTGACACCTTGAGTTTTGGACCTGCAAAATGGAAAGAGTAGGAATCTGACTTATTTTAAGGTACACGGAAACCTTGGGTTTTGTGCTGCAGATATGATAGATAGCCAGGTATGAAATTGTAGAAAGTCTTTTTTTTTTTTTTTTTTTTTTTTTGAGACGGAGTCTCGCTCTGTCGCTCAGGCTGGAGTGCTGTGGCGTGATCTCGCCTGACTGCAACCTCTGCCTCCCGTGTTCATGCCATTCATTCTGCTGCCTCAGCCTCTCGAGTAGCTGGGACTGTAGGTGCCCACCACCACGCCCGGCTAATTATTTTGTATTTTTTTTAGTGGAGACGGGGTTTCACTGTGTTAGCCAGGATGGTCTCAATCTCCTGACCTCATGATCCACCCGCCTCGGCCACCCAAAGTGCTGGGATTACAGGCGTGAGCCACCGTTTTTCTGTTTTGTTTTGTTTTGTTTTGAGACAGAGTCTCTCACTATCACCTGGGCCGGAGTGCAGTGGCACAATCTCGGCTCACTGTAACCTCCACCTCCAGGGTTCAAGCGATTCTCCTGCCTCAGCCTCCCAAGTAGCTGGGATTACAGGTGCCCACCACCAGGCCCGCTAACTTTTTGTATTTTTAGTGGAGATGGGGTTTCACTATGTTGGCCAGGCTGGTCTCAAACTCCTGACCCTCATGATCTGCCTGCCTCAGTCTCCCAAAGTGCGATTACAAATACAGCAGTGATCATGTCCTTCCTTGGCTGGAAGAATCTTCAGTAGTTCCACAACATTGCTTTTTTGGGTTTATTTTTAAAGATTCTATTGAAATATACTGAAAAGTGACATATCCTAAGCTAGATGAACTGTCACAGGGTGAAAATACACATGGTACTATTGTTCAGATGAAGAAATAGAACCTTACCAGCACCTCACACCCTTTGTGCCCCTCCCAGGCACTCCCCTGAAAACAGTAGCTAGTATCCTGACTTCTGCTAGCATGGATTTATTGTGCACTTTTATATTTTATATGAATGGAATTCTACACTACGTGCTCTTTTGTGCCTGTTTCCTTTTGCTCAGTGGTATCTTGTAGATACTCCTTTCTCACTGCTGTATAATATTCCATCATGTGTTATGCCGTGTTTTGTCTATTTCCATTGTCTTTCAGACTGAGTATAAATGTCTCTCCCCAGCATTCAAGGCCCTCCGTAATAGAGCCCCTTCTGTTTTCCACTACTCCCCGCATTCGTCCCTCACTCCAGCCAGACCACGTTTCTGATCATTCTGCTGACCCCATGGAGCTCAGGCAAAGATGGCCCCTTGAGTGCTCTTTTGGACTCGAGATAGAAAGGTGTCTACAACCCACTTCCTACCCTCAAGGAAGTCGTAGTCTATAGAACACAAACTGTTTCTCTTTCTGGGCCTTTGCTCTTGCTGTTTCCCTGGATCTGGAATGTTCTTGTCCCTCCACCTTCATCCCGCCTACTACAATCCCATGTGTACTTCAAGGGTCCTCTCAAATGCCAGCTGCTTTGTGAAGATTGTTGGGTTCCTCCTCTCAGTAACCTCTCTCCCCACTCTGATCTCCCAGAGCACTATTTAATATCCTCTTCAGCACTTGTCAGAGGTTCCTTGACCTTTTGGACATTTGAAAACAAACCTGTTCCTTTTTACTTGCCTGTAAGTTATTTGAGGTAGGGCTATATTTTATTTTATTTTGAAAAAAGCAGTCACTCATATCCAGGGCAATTACACAAATTTGTGTTCAATAATTATCAAAATGAATTGAAGGAGAAGGGGGGCAAAATTCTTGAAGCTTAGGATAAGGAGGGGCCTTCTGGGGAGTTGGGAGGCCTTGGCCAAGAGAACATATTATAGATAGCACTGACCTTGGAGTCACAAGACCTGGGCCCTCTTTACTTTATTTACCAAGTTTATGAACTTGGGCAACTCATTAATCTTTTGAAGGCTTGGTTTCTTTGGATGTAAAATGGGGGCATAATAATGGCTGTTTCACAGGGTTGTTGTAAAGTGAGACAATATTTGTGAACATACTTTATGAACCATAAAACTATGCAATATGAGGCATTTTCAACTCTCTAGTGGCATTGGCCCTGCAGGTGTTACCACAGTGTCTCTTTGCTGGACTGAGGGGCCAACAACCATCTGAGGTCCATCTTTTAGCTCTGTTTATTGTATCTCCCTCTGCCCTTGAATTCATGGTTAAGCTTACTCAGGACATTGTGGGGCTGCATATCTCCCACCAGTCGTAGGCCAGCCGGCATGTTCTTCATCTTTGCCTCTTGCCCTTGGCTTGAGATCTGGTTCAGTGAAAATGGTCGTTGAGGCTGGGTGCCGTGGCTCAAGCCTGTAATCCCAGCACTTTCGAAGGCCGAGGTAGGAGGATCACATGAGCCTGGGAGTTCGAAACCAGCCTGGACCCACATAGTAAGACCCTGCCACTACAAAAAAATTAGCCAGCACAGTGGCACACGTCTGTAGTCCCAACTAGTCGAGAGGCTGGACATGGGAGGATCTCTTGAGCCAGGGAGGGTGATCGCGTCACTGTACTCCAGGCTGGGTGACAGAGCGAGACCCTGTCTCAAATAAATAAATAAATGCACCATAAAAAAGGTTGTTGATGGAATGACAAGCCCCACCTGACTGCAGCACAGCTGTTTTGTGACGTAAGCAATATCCTAGTGTATTGACATTTAGGATGCTTTGCTCCTTGCCTTAGATATGGAGTTGAAGGAAAATCATGAATGATTTTCAGGAGTCTGAGTCAGGAGTCTGAGGATTTATTGACTCCCAAGATGGTTGTGTCTCAGGTTAATCTGTGAAAGCACAGGACATGAAGTGTAGCCACAGCCTGCCTTAAAGTCTGCTTACCTCCCATCCTATCCCTTCATGTTTTCCAGAGAAATATTTTTGAAAAGACCAGACAACATCCTAGAATTTGCTGCAGGTGAGTAAGGCAGCGTCGGTTTTGGGTATCTGACAAAGCCAGCACGGAGAGCATGTTTATGAGTTTAAACTTGAATGAGCCCAGGATTCTCCCTGCGGAGTCTGGGGTACTCCTTCACCTGATGTCCCCCAAAGGAACTTTTTCTCAGCTTTTTCTTTCCTCCATCATCATTTCCTCAAAATGAGGACAGACCAGAAATGAGGCACAACTTCCTCATGGTGAGGATGGTTAAGAATTTTGAGATTCCCAAAGGAACGTATCGGCAGCTTTTCCCTTGGTAATCTTAAAGCAGGGCTCTCAACCCTAGCTGTGCATCAGAATCACCTGGGGAGCTTTTAGAAATACTGATGCTCAGGCCCCACCCCCAGAGAGTTTTATTTAATTAGTCTGGGGTGGGGCCCAGCATACAGGGCTTTAAAGACTCCCCAGGTGATTCTAATGGACTGGCTGCCCGAGATGCCTTAAGGTCAATGGTATTTAGAGGGAAAGGGATGGGTCCGACAATTTCTTGGGTCCTGTTAGTCCTGAGAATTGGGTACCTCCCAGACCTCAAACCATTGCTAACGGAATCTCAATACGCCTTTGCTAGCGCAGCAGATGCTGCCTGTGATTCACAGTATGCTGGGTGTATAAAAACCCTCATCTGGCGTCATCCTGCGAGAGCTTGGCTCTCCTCTGAGAGGGTATTCTCAGAGAAGGCGTGATAGCTCAGAGACGGGAGCTGGCAAGCTGAACTGAGACAAGAATAATACTTGGCATTTATTTGGGCCCCAAGATGGGCCTGGAGCAGAAAACCCAGAGAATCCCTGAGCCCTCTGATGGCTCTCTGTGCGTCAGCAGGCGGAGGAGCAAACGGTGCAGCACAGGGTAGGTGGGGGGTGGGGGCAGGCACAGCGTGGAGGGGCGGCAGCCAGCCTCTGGGCGCCCTTCCTGGGAATGTTGGAGCTGGCAGACTCAGAACTGCTTGGGTGGGGGCAGTGACCGCTCATTTTACCATATTACATTGTAAAGCAGGGCCACTAGTAGCAGTCCTGCTAGTACCAAGCCATCCTAACTTTCTGGTGGAGTAAGCTGTTTCCTTCCGTGGGTAAGTCTTTTCCCTTTGGGTATAGATGATGTCTTCTTTTTGATTTTTATCCCAGACTACTTCACGGATCCAAGACTTCCCAGCAAAATTCACATGCAGCTAATTAAAGACAAGAAAGTGGCTTAATTAGCAAAATCATGATGCTCGGCTGTTGGGAGAGACCAGACAGAATCCAGCCTCAGGGTGGGTGTTAACCTCACTTACAGACAGAGGCTTCTTTACTCTTGCGAAAATAAGCTGTGGTTTATTGGTCCAGGGTGTGAAAGAAATCAAGTGGAGAATTTAAAAGAGAAGTTTAATGCAAATGTTTAGTTTTTCCTATACTGTTTTGGGGAATTAGGGACTGTGACGAGAGGCCCAGGGTTGATCTGTCATGTCAGTATCAGGAAGCTTCTTAATGTAGTGGAATGGATTAAGAGAGTGGAAGTGGGAGTACAGTAGTTCAGGGGTAAAGATGGCAACAGGGAGATGGGGAGGGGACCATTAGCATCAAGATGATGTTCCTGCTGGTGGCCTTTCCCGTGTGACCTTGGTGGTGAGAGGAGAGATGTTTCCATTGCTTCTGGAAGGGGTGGGAGCAGTTTCCCTCCTTGCATCTTGGATTGGGCACTTTCCCATTCCTGCCTCATCTTCAAGCCAGGCTGTGCCATTGAGGCCACCACAAGTTTTTCAGGCAGAATGATTCCTGAAATGATATTGAAAGCTGGGATTAAAAAAAAAAAAAAATGAGGTGAGAAAAGGTCACACTCCTAATCTAGTGGAACCATTTTTGTTTTGCAGGGTCATCTGGAGGCATGAGAGCCCTCCTGCCATCAGTGTGGGTTTCCAAGCTGCCTTGGGCTCTGTCTACTGTCGCAAAAGCTTTCAAAGATATTCATTAAACACAGACCTTCCTGCTGTCTCTGCTTTATTTCACTCAAGAGGAGGAAGCCATCCTTCATGGGAGGGCTGCTCTGCCCCACTTTGACGTGCGAGGCAGCAGGCCTGTTTCCTCTTTCAGGGCGGCCAGGAGCCTCTTGCTGGGTCAGTGGGCTGTCGTGTCCACCCCCTGAGAAGAACACAGCTGATCACGGGGGCACAGAAACAAGCGAGTCCATGCTTCAGCTGTGGTTTTGTTTTCTTGTTTATCTTACTTCCTGGGTTACTGTACAGAGTGTAAGGTGATGATTAACTTTGATTTCCATAGAAGCAATTGTAAGAGGAATTGGGCTGGAAGGACATCAAGATAATGTGAGATTAGCCACAGAAAACCCATTCAGGGTCATGGATATTGTGAAATATGTGCCCACCAAGGGATCTGGGAGTTGTGGGCTTTGTTCTTGAGGACTCTGGGGAACTTGCTGCCCATCCACTTGATTTCAGGTAAGAGGTATGGGAGTGGACCAGATGGCCTCAGGAAGTCCTTTTCAGGCCTAGGAGCTTAGGGGTCTTTCGTGGTTATGTCCTACCCCTCTGGCCTGCACGCTCCGCTGGCTCCACTGTAGAAAGAACCTCTCACCTGTGCGTTACGTGTCAACATCACCATAGCAACAGAAGCCCAGACCAAAGCAGGGGTTGTATTATTTTTATCTGCCTTGTCTCTGTCGGCCTTGTTCCTAGCTGCCGTCACCTGCAGTAGTAGAAAGGGCAACAAAACAGCGTGTTTAAAGAACTATTAAAACTATACATAATAAGCTATGGAATAGGAACTTGAGGAGTTATTTTTAGTGCCTTCAGAGTCACACTTCAGGAGCTATGGCACTGACAATAAGATATCCTTCTTTAGAAAATCCAAACGAACACTTTAGCAAAAAACACGCATCTACTAAGGACCTCTGATGTGAAGTGTTGTATTAGACAATGCGAGAACCTTTCCTGGGGAAAGAGACCTGGAACAATGTGGGGAGAGAGCAAAGCATTTTCCAAGATGCTGTAGCACATGATTTAATACTGGGAGAGTATAGTGGTTCATTCTTGGGGGAGTTTCCTGGCAGAAATAAGAAATCCTTTTCTTATAAAATATTTACACTTAAGGGACATTTCAATGCCTTCCTGAGTAAAGAATGAATTTAGCACATGTTCATAGGGCATCTACTTTGTGTGAGATGCTGTGCTATGTCCTGGGGGCAAGACATAAAGATAGTCCCGCCACAGAACTGTTTATAGTCTGAGGAGATGGGCTTCTTTTCTCCCATAACTTTACCTGTCTGAATATCTCACCTATTAGACTGAAAGCTCCATAAGGGCAGGGACCAAACCTGAAAATCTAACTTGTTCACTACTGAATTCCTGACTCCTAGCAGTCTTTGGCAAATAGCAGGCACTCAGCAAGCATTTGCAGAGAAAATGCTTGTCTGCATAATTGAATGAACAGTCGCATTACATCAATTGCTATATTGGCAATTACATACCTCTGATGGAAGTAGGCACATAATATAAGGGGAGGTAGAAGAAAAAGCACCAGGTTTGTCTGGGAGAGTGAGGGCAATCCCATGAGAACTGGCATGTGATGGATTAGAAAGGGTTTGCCAGCCGGACATGGTGGCTCACACCTGTAATCCCAGCACTTTGGGAGGCCGAAGCAGGCAGATCACAAGGTCAGGAATTTGAGATCAGCCTGGCCAATATGGTGATACCCTGTCTCTACTAAAAATACAAAAAATTAGCCAGGCGAGGTAGCGCACGCTTGTAGTCCCAGCTACTCGGGAGGCTGAGGCAGAAGAATCATTTGAACCCGGGAGGTGGAGGTTGCAGTGAGCCGAGATCATGCCACTGCCCTCCAGCCTGGGTGACACAGGAGACTCAGTCAGTTTCAAAAATAAAAATAAAAAAAAAAAAGGGTTTGACAGGCAGACCTGAGACAAGAGTAGTCAAGAGCAAGGATGACTCTGCTGAGCAGGATGGTGGTGGCAGGTCCTGTTTGTCACCTGCTTGCCCTTATCCTTTTCTTCCTTGCTAATGGAACTCCAGGTTTGCTGAGGGCAGCAGTGGGTTCAGCCCCAGGTAGTGGATGGAATTTGGTCTGGTCCAGCCATAACAATGGCATTCCCTGACTTCCCAGGCTTCCTTGCAGCTTGGGGCAGCCATTTATTCATGGGCTAGAGGTAAAAGTGTGCTGGGGATTCTACAAAAACCTTTGCTTTTCTTTTTTTTTTTTTTTTTTTTTTTTTGAGACGGAGTCTCGCGCTGTGTCACCCAGGCTGGAGTGCAGTGGTGCGCTCTCGGCTCACTGCAAGCTCCGCCTCCCAGGTTCACGCCATTCTCCTGCCTCAGCCTCCGAGTAGCTGGGACTACAGGCGCCCGCCACCTCGCCCGGCTAGTTTTTTGTATTTTTAGTAGAGACGGGGTTTCACCATGTTAGCCAGGATGGTCTCGATCTCCTGACCTCGTGATCCACCCGCCTCGGCCTCCCAAAGTGCTGGGATTACAGGCTTGAGCCACCGCGCCCGGCCTAAACCTTTGCTTTTCTTAACAAAAAACCAGAGTTGGGGACAACAGATTAGGTTGGAATAGCCCTCCCCTTTCTGATTTGTACCTGAATGTGATGCCTCCAGCTATACAGTCATCTTTTTTTTTTTTGAGACAGAGTGTTACTCTGTTGCCCAGGCTAGAGCGCAGGGGCGTGATCTTGGCTCACTACAACCTCTGCCTCCCAGGTTCAAGCCATTCTCCTGCCTCAGCCTCCCGAGCAGGTAGGATTACAGGCATGTGCCACCATGCCCAGCTAATTTTTGTATTTTTAGTAGAGACGGAGTTTCACCATGTTGGTCAGGTTGGTCTCAAACTCTTGGCCTCATGTGATCCGCCCGCCTTGGCCTCCCAAAGTGCTGGGATTACAGGCGTGAGCCACCGCACTCAGCCTGAGCAGCCATCTCAAGACCATGAGGTAACCAATGTGAGGGTGAAAGCCAGACTTCTAGAACAGCAGAAAGGGAAGATGGGGAGACCCTGGGGTCCTGATGGCATCTTTGAGCACTTAAACAGCCCAGAAATCACCCACCTACCTTCAGACTTCTTGGCAAATGAGAATAGTGAATCTCTTTTATTTCAAAATCAAAGAGTTTACATCCTGTTCCACCACTTACTAGATATCTGGCCTTGTCCAAATCACTTCACTTCCTTGAGCACTGGGTTTCTCATCTATAAGACCTACAATACCCACCTCTCCAGGTCGTTTGGATTAGAGATAAAGAATGGACAGTACCTGGTGCATGGGAGATGTTTGCTAGTGGCGTACCCCCTGGGTGATGTATGAAGTACAAGGGTAGGTGTGGTGATAGGAAAAACCAGGTAAGAAGGTAGGACAAATCAAAGAGTACTGTGTACTAGGCACAGGAGGTTAGGTTTTTATCTTGTAGGCAATGGAGAGCTAGCAAAGAATTGTAAGCCGAGGGGAATTTATAAAGAGATTTGCATTGAGAAGGCTGGGCACAGTGGCTCACGCCTGTAATCCCAGCACTTTGGGAGGCCGAGGCGGGTGGATCACCTGAGGTCGGGAGTTCGAGACCAGCCTGACCAACATGGAGAAACCCCGTCCCTACTAAAAATACAAAATTAGCTGAGCCTGGTGGCACATGCCTATAATCCCAGCTACTAGGGAGGCTGAGGCAGGAGAATTGCTTGAACCTGGGAGGCGGAGGTTGCGGTGAGCCGAGATCGTGCCACTGCACTCCAGCCTGGGCAACAGAGTGAAACTCTGCCTCAAAAAAAAAAAAAAAAAAGAGATTTGCATTGAGAAAGTATAATAGCGTGGAAGACAAATTAGGGGAAACTAAGTCTAGAAATGGGAAGACCTATAGGGAGATGATCATAATTGTCCAAGCTGTTTGGGCATGGTGGCTCACACCTGTAATCCCAGCACTTTGGGAGACTGAGGCGGACTTGAGGTCAGGAGTTCGAGACCAGACTGGCCAACGTGGTGAAACCCTGTCTCTATCAAAAAACTCCACTAAAATTAGCTGGGTGTAGTGGCGCACACCTGTGTTCTCAGCTGCTTAGGAAGTTGAGATGGGAAGATCGCCTGAGCCTGGGAGGTCAAGGCTGCAGTGAGCCAAGGTCGCGCCACTGTACTCCAGCCTGGGCAACAGTGAGACTCTTTTTTTTTTTTTTTTTAAAAATAATTGTCCAAGCTGTCATTGTCTCTCACCTGCACCATTTCAGTTGCTTCTTACCCTAGTCTCTGTTGACTCTCTGTCCACTATTTCAGTTGAGAATGTATTTAGGTGTAGGTAACAGAAAAAGAAATTTATAGTGACTTAAACAAATATGGGGTCATTTTTCTCACCTAAACAGTTCAGCAGTAGGCAAGAGTCATAGGGTCAATGATGTTGACAAGTACCTAGACCAGGTTTTTTCTGTCTCACTCTACCAGCTTAGCCTGTCCCTTCGTGGCTGTGAGGCCTCCTGCACTCTCAGGTGTCCTCTTTACATTTCAGGCAGGGAGAAGGGCAGAGAGCTGCACCAGCTGACTTTGTCCCTTTTTATCAGCAAAGACAAGCTTTCTCCGAAGGTCTCCCACCTCCCCCTCACTGGCCCGACCAGGGTCACGCGGCCTATCCTAAGCTCAACAGAGACCAGGAATGGGAGGAAAACTGCTGGGTGAGATCCACATCAGCATCTGTCCCACCTGCACTCCCTGATCCATCTTCCATGTAACAGCTGGGATAATTCTTGTTTTAAAGTTTAATTTTATTGATTTTTGAGACAGTCTTGTTCTGTCACTCAGGTTGGAGTACAGTGTAGCTCACTGTAACTTCAAACTTTTGGGCTCAAACAGTCCTCTTACTTCAGCCTCCCTAGTACTAGGACTACAGGTATATGCCACCACTAATTTAAAAAAAAATTTTGTAGGCTGGGTGCGGTGGCTCACACCTGTATTCCCAATACTCTGGGAAGCCAAGGCAGTGGATCACTTGAGGT